TGATTACTCCTTGAATTTATTAAAGTCTTGTTTTATCACACAGTTAAAATATCTTCCTGAATATCAGTAAGTCAAATGAGTTTAATTCTTCATATGGTTCCACCTTCTTGATTGTTAATGACAATGCCGTTAATCTCTTTTCACCCATTTTTGTTTTTCTTTTAACCAAGCTGAAATTAGTACTGATTTTGTGGTGTCCCACACTAATAGCTGCACCATAATTAAGCACTGCCATTTCAGAAACATTTCTAATGCTTCCTTTATCCTCTTGCTTTTAATTTTCAGCAGAAAACCATAACCATAAAGTTACCCCTCTGCGCTGCTAACCCTTAAACCTGGGAATGGCAGCTTAGTGACAAGCTCTTCTCACACTTTATTTCATTTCTAAAATTAAAAATTGCTACAATCAAACATTTAGAGCAGCTTATGCCACTGCACCTCCAAATTAGTCATGACCTGAAGTAATGAATGATATGTGAGGATGATTTTAATTGATGTTTTTGTTGGAATTACTAATGAATTCATCATATAATTAAGCAGTACTCTCTAGCATTCACAACAGAAATAAAAAACAAAAAAACTGCATATATGTATGTATGCGTGCATACATTATATATATATATATATATATATATATATATATATATATATATGTACACATATGTGTTTGGGTAGAAATGTATACACACTTATGCACAGCAATACATTTGAACCTAAAAGAAGAAAAGGGGATGAGGAGAGTAACATTTCAAATTGTTTTTCCTTCCAACTTATAGAATCATTATACATTTGAGTGGCAACTTACAATTGTTCTTATGCAAACAGTATCCCCATTTAAATTCACGGGGAAATTATGGGCATTAGGATTGTGGAATCTTTGCACTTTCCTTTAAAAGCAAAATAATAAATTAAAATCTTTGAAATATGCCCTGAATTTCAGTTTTACTATACTTTATTATTTAGTGTCTGAACCTGTAAAAAGATGAACCTAATATTATTTTAATTGCAATGTGGGGAAATATGTTAAAATTTTCTTTAATATATACTATTTTATTTCCTTCACTTTTCTGTGTATTTTAGGTCTGACTGAAACACTTTAATTTTCTAGTAATTATGATTCAGTAAAATCCTGAAATATTACACTTTAGTTGTCTGTGCTTTAAGGTTTGCTTGTTCCATTGCACTGAGTCTAAAAGACTAACATCATGATATTGAACTTATTAGGATGGAGGAACATCAAAACATTTAATATACAAAGCATTTTTAAAGAACTAAATTATAAGACTAACATACAAAATGGAAAAATAAAATGAGGGAATATTATGGAAATTAATATATAAATATAATGTGGCGCAATTGTTAAACTGCTTCCTAGGTAGACTAAATGTTGATACCACCTTCTGCTACCCTAAAATAGAGACTTAAAAACATGAATTTTTATGTGAATTTTTGTCCTTAGGAAATAATAAAGCGGACTATACATTAAAACTGTTGTTATTCTTTAAAGAATATTTCTCAAAGTAAAATGTAGTTCAGATTTATTGTGTTTTGAAGTCCAAGCCCACTTCATAGTGGAGATAGTTTATTTAGCTAGTAAGTTTGAGTGACAGTGATAGATCATACCATCAGACTGGAAGATGCCTCAAGAAATGATTTTTTCCTTGTACCTTAACCCTCTTCCTTAAAGCCGGTCTTGTAACTATGCCATTCTTAGCAAATGGATACTGTATATCAAAACTTCTCCCCTTAGCTTTCATCATTTTGGAAGGTTGTTTTTTTTTTTTTAATGATGGGATGAACAGGTTGGGAGGGAATAGAATCAAACCTTTTAAGAAGTACATCTATAGTTCTCAGTAATATGATCGGAATTACAATCTAATTGTACCTGAAATCACTCCAAATTTCATAAGAAGTTGGAGAATTTTAAAACATGATAAGCAAAAATGCCTAGGTTCATGACATTTTCAGTTCCAGTTTCAGCTGAGCCATGTCTTAATTGCATCTGTTTAGGGAATTTAAAGTATCATTTTGGCAGTGCTGAATCTGGCAAAGTACAGAAGCAACCTCAGTAGGGTGTTATAAGATTCTTAGATTTGAAATAGCATCATTTAGGGAGGGGGAAAATCCAGGAAAGAAATAGATTCTAAAGCTATAAGACATTAAAATCTGAGAAGCTAAGGACAACCAACAGCAAAATGCACATTCAAGCAGGCACACAAAGTGCCTGCCAAAATGCGTATAAAACAGCATTCAGTTTCTCTCAGAGGGAGAACGCACAATACTAAAGGTCCAAAGCCTGCGGTCTAGGTGGGTGGTGCCAGTACCAGAGTCTGCCCAATTCACTGATAAAAGGAACACCTCTGTAAATGCAGAGGTGATGAGGTAGGCAATAATGGTTTTTATGATCAGCCATTTTCTCCCAGTAAATGGAAGCCTTGCTCACTGCTCTTTCTTTAAAAGTATTATCATTGCACTAAATACATGTGTTCTCTCTCTATTTTCTCTTGTTCTCCTCATGCCTTTTCTCCCTCTGCCTCTTTTCCTACTCTGTCCCTCCCCACTTCCTTCCCAGTTTCTCTTTTATACACACACAGAGAAATGCTGTAAGTTCACTAAAGTGAAGGGAGAGAGAGAAAAAAAAAGAATGACTTGAGATCCTATAACAATTGAAAGCAGAGCCAAGAATAGAGCTCAAGATTTTAACTTCTAGTCTTTGACAGACCATGTGCCTTGTGAATTGGGGATATAAATCCCCAGTCACCTTCTATTGGAAATAGTCCTTGATGTTCTGCCTTACTCTCCTTTTTGCATATATTGCTTCAGCTTTTTAGAATTGCTAGTTCTTTCCAAAATCTTTGTCCAAAATGTTATGTCATTCATAAAATAATTTTCTTTAATTGATCCACGTACCGTCACCCTGTGCCCAACAGCTGCTTTTTTTTGATACCATGTGTTATAGGGATGCCATCTCCTACAATTGAGCATTGTAAACTCTCACTTAGTAGAGGGAATCCACCATTTTTTTATTATTCTTATCTGTAATCTACACCAAGTTGTCTTTGCTCTGCTCTTTCCACATGAAATGATATATTCAAATTTGTTCCTTTTCAGCTTATTTTTAATTGCTATTTTCTTTAATTAGCTTTATACCCAAGAAAACTATCTCTTCCAATTCTGCCTTAATCATCACCTCAGTTCCAAAATCTTGTGGGAGTAAAATTTAGAATTTTTACAGCATCAGCTTCATTCTTTAGTTTTGGCTTTAAATGATATTAAATATTAATGTTATTTTTTTCCTAGATTTGTAGTTTTCCTAAGTTGTTAACCCTAGCTACATTTTTATTACCCGATTAACTGTTATCACTGTCTTATATGGAAGGGTATTGTTCATTTCTTTCTAAGGAAAGTAGAAAAGAAAAAGACAAGCATGATGTGTATGATTTTTAAGAAGAAAATATTACTCTCAGGGATTATTGGCTTTTATATTTGAGTAATACAGCTTCCCCAAAAAATGTAGATGACTTTGACTGAAAATCTGAAAAATAAAATTGAACAATAGTTGGTTCTTACAAAACAAAACAAAAGTATGGTATAATGGAAAGAGTTCTAGATTTGAGATCAGAAGTCCTAGTTTCATATCCTAGTTCTGCTGCTTACTACCAGTTTGACCTTGGGCAAGTAAATGAACCTTTTTGATGCTCAGTTCCTCAACTCTAAAATGAAGGGGTTGGAGTAGGTGCCCTCTAAAGTCTCTTTTCTCTCTAAATCGCAAATAATTTTTATAATGAAAATTGGAAATAAGATAATTTTGTCTTATTATGTGTAGTGGTTCATTTCCTGCATACAATTGAGAAATTACAGTAGTGATGAATATAAAATAATTTCTTGTATGTTATAGCAGAAACTTTAAAAGAGTTTTGGCACTTAAGAAAAGTAAAAAATTCCACCTTGTAAGCATTAAGATTTCAATTGTTCTGCTTGTCAACTGACAGCAGATTGAAGGGAGGTGTAAGAGAATTGGCAATTGAATTATTTTGTACAAATGGAGTAAGATAATTTTGAAATGAATGCATAAGAAGTCATTTATGGTCAGTGTTCTCAGCAGATGCTTAGTTCTTAATAAGGAACTTCAGAATACTGAAAAGACAGAGATTCAAGCAATGGTTGTCACAAATTTTTATTGTGGTTCCCCCAGAAACAAAAAAGAATCCAATTGTGTACTTTGTTATAGTCAAAAGAGCACTGACTGACTTGGGTATCAGGAGACTTGGATTCAAGTGTGACTCTGACACTAGCTCAGTGTTATTGGGTAAATCATTTTTCTAGGCCTCGGTTTCCTCATATTTTTAAAGTATATGATAACTTGAAGGGATTAGGTAGATAATCTCAAAGATCCTTTCAGGTACTAAAAAATTTTATGATTTTATAATATTGATTGGGGAGTCTAAAGATAGTAACCTATCTAGAAAAGAGAGTTTTTATTCTTTTATCAGATCAAATTATCTGAAGTTCTTCAGCGAGGAGTTGGACTAATTGACTTCTGAGTTCCCTTCTAACTCTACCATTTTGTAATGCTATGAAAAATATGTTAAGTACTCCTAGAAAAATGCATTGTTTTCACAGAAAAAAAAAAGCCCGCGTAAGTGGTTCCATGCAACTTCCCACCACCGCTGGGGGAAAACATTGCATTTCATTCCCTACTGAGTATCCCCTATATAAATAAGTGCTATAAGATATTACTACCCTTTTTTCTGAAATTCTTTATTGGTATAGCTCTTTTCAAGACTTCTCTGTCCACTTAATTCATACAATTGCTTTGGAAATGTGGGATTGCTTATTAATGCAAACCCACTGTATTGGCTTTTTGGACCAGATTATTTCACAATAATGGGAGTTGTCGGCTTGGGGCAGGGGTAGGGGTACGGAGTTTGGTATGAGGGGAAGAATCTGAACTGGATAATAGTCAGTTTTTAAAAATCAGTTTATTATTTGGCAGATAGCAATTTTTAAAAAAAGTATGATTGTTGAAGTCAATTTTTCACTTTTCTGTCTATCTGTAACTTCAAAATAACATGAAGACAGTATTTGCCAGTAAACAAGTCATCAACAAGACAAAGATCAACAGTTATCTGGATGAAGTCAACAGCCTTGCAAAATGTAAAACCAGCTTGGTGATGGGCAATTCACTGAGAAAGATGGATTCTGTATTCTTGAGTTTCCTCCTGTCTTCAAAGTGTTTGAAATCAGATATTGGCTTTGTGGTGGCATAGCTTTAATTTTGAAAACTGCCATTAATGAAATGATATACTACGTAGACTGCCAGTGTACTGAAGATGTCTTTATGCTGATTCAGAGTATTTAAGGACATATGCCCATTTCCACAGAGGCTGTTCTGAAAAACAAAAAACAGATTTCCTCACAGCACAGGCTACAACATTTGCACAGATTCCTTGATATGCCTACGGTTTAGAAACTCCAAAACGTAAAGAAATTACAATAGTAAGGGATAGAGGTATTGATACATCTCACACAGAAGTTAATGTCACTATGAAAATTCTGTATTTGTAGCAAACATTGTATATTCTAAATTATGTAAGATATTGGGGAAAGATTTCTCCTAGGCATTTCAAGTTTGCTTAGGTGTTGATTGTCACATCTTGGGCTGGATCAGGATCATGCCCCAAAGTTTCAATATCCGTCTTTGAAGCTAATGTAAATTATATACTTAAGAAAAACAAAACATGTAATAAGAGTGCCATGGTTTCATATGCAGTCCTCTTTTTCTGTTCTTCTTTGTGCATGGAAATATTTGTTGGTGTTTGTCAAATTCTGAGTGACCAAAGGAAAAAAAAATGTCACTCTCTTGCAAATTGTAAATTCTGTAATTTCTTTAAAATCTATTCCTTTAGGGGCAGCTAGGTGGCACAGTGAATTTAGAACCAGCCCTGAAGTCAGGAGGACCTGAGTTAAAATTTGACCTCAGACACTTGACAGTTACTAGCTGTATGACCCTGGGCAAGTCATTTAACCCCGATTGCCTCACACCAAAATAAATAAAATCTATTCCTCTCCCCCTCCCCCCAATTTGGTACTATTCACAAATTCTTTAACTCAAATAGTAAAACTTTGGCCCAATTTCTTGGAAAGCATTAATTTTGTCCTCCATTATCATATGGTAATTTTTCTAGGGAGAGGAAAAGCAGAAGGAAGGGAGTGTAGACAAAAGTGCTGCTACTTCGAACTCTGAAAGCAAGTTTATTCTCTTTTGTCAGAGGATAAGGTTGAAAAAGAAAAGAGTGGATCTGATGCTAAATAGTATTACACAAGATTTGAGAGACACTTTATGGTTATTTTAGGAAATTATTCTTGCCATCCAACTGCCTAAAAATGTTTTGTCTGCCTTTAACCTCATCAAAACAATTACAATAAGATTGCCATTATTTTTCTTATGTGTTTCTAAGACTCTTATCTGGGTTCAGAAGCTTTGGAATTAAGTCCTATAAACCCAGGGAGGTCTCCCGTTTTCTTGTTAATGGGAATACCCAGAACACATATAGCTTATGCTCTCTCACCTGACTCTCCAGGGTTTTCAGACTTTTAACAGGATATGGTTTTTAATGAGGCTGCTAGAAGCTTTAGCAACTTCTTTAATGATTTTGTTTTTACCCTTTGCTACTGCTTCCACTAGAACCCAAATGATTGTCTATACTACATACTTCTTTCTACCATTCAGATTCTGATATTTTAAGACATACTATTTTTCTTTCCTCTGTGCTGGAAAGAATAAATATTATACAGTATAAAGTCCATTATGGGAAATAGTAGTCTCAGCTCACTATATTAGAAGTGGAACATCATCAAAATACCATCTGCAAAGATCATGACAAATATTACTCACAGTATTCTGTACTTTGAAATGTACTTTTTTTTTTAATAACATGGACCTGTTTGACTTAGGCAAGAAAGTCCTCTCTGTACCAATTACCAGTAAACAAAAGGAATCCCCAAAAGACTATGAGAAGGATAGGAGCAACAGGTATGTTGTCTTGGTTTAGGGCCAACCTTCTTTGCCTTCCCCTATGTTCTTTTTTTTTCTTTACTCATTATTGTTTAGTTGTTGTTATCTCATTCTGTTCTGTATGTATTTTTGTACAAAGAGCATGGCAAAGCTTTTCAATCCCCAGAATACCCAATAGAGAACCATACTGTATCCTGTGGATGTTCGCTAGATGTTTACTCTCAATAACTTTTGTCCTTTGTTTTTTTTTATTTGTATTTATACTTGTCTTATCATCGTTGTTGTAGAAGTTTCTCTGACCATCATAATTTTTCTTTCTCAGAAAAGCTTTTGATAAGTATAGGTTTCATTTCAGAATATGGAGTTTCTTTTTTTGTTTCCTATGATCTATGTTGGTATATATTTTCAAATACATGTCCTCTTCAAGATTAGTTTTATTTTTAGTTTTTATAGTGATTTTAATCTTATTTTTTTAACCTTCAATTCCCCTTTATAGTATGTTGTTCTTTGTGGTTATTAATTTTTTGAAAGTAAAATCATTTACTTTAATGAACAGTAAAGAAAACAAAATAATTATGAATAATGTCAGTTTATGAATTTATGAATTCTTAATAGAAACACTAAGGAAAATTAGAAGATAGGAAAATTACACAGGCAAACATAGCAATTCTAAGAAGGGGCTCAGTGTACTTAACAGAACATACAAAAACATGTTATATTTTTTTTAAAAAAAGTCAAATAAGGAGCTTAGCTTTTAGTCTAAGAAACACTGCTAAATTATCAACATGGAGGCTACAATGTGGATCATAAAATCATAGACTCATACTTTTAGAGCTTAGAGGGACTTTAGTCCAATCCCCTAATTTTGCTAATAAGAAAACTGACATTTAAAGAGCTGTGTTTGTCCAAGGTCACATTGATTAGTTAAAGTGTCAATCTGAAACTCAAGCAAAGGATTCTTAGTCCAGTTCTTTTGTCTCTAGCACTACAAAATATCAGATGCTATTATCTAGAAGAGGAATAAGCCTTGCAGTGCTTGACCATAGAGGGCAGAGTGAGTTGATGTTTCTTTCACAGGTAGATTAAAGTTAGAAGTAAAGAATCTTCCTAATAATAAGGGGGGAAAATTTGAATCTGGTCCTAAAGTGGCAAGTGGTTGCACATGGCATTTGAAAACACCTTAGAACTTTAAAACCAGTAAAACGAACTGGAGCTTTTTAAAACCAACTTGGTAATTTTTTAACTTGAAAATATTTTTATTGCATTTTCTAGTTTTTTCCATACTATCCCAGAGTAGAATGGGCTACCTCTGGAGGAAGTTGCTTCTCCTTTACAGTAGATTTTCAAGCACAGTATAACCATTTGTTGAGTATGTTGTAGTGGGGCTACTTGGCTGCTAGGATCCTTTTCAGCTTTTAGATTATGCCATAACTCATTCTGTAGCAATTTGGGTAACAGTTGTTTTACTTCTGTTTTGGCAGTGATGAATTCAACATGATTTGTATTATTTTTTCCACAGCCTATCAATAAAGGTCACGATTTCTTTGAAGAGATTTAGACATAGCTGAATGCAGTGAAAAGGTTACTTTTTTCTACAGAACATGATGGAAGTGAATAACCTCCACCTTGTACAACTTAGAAATATTCTCTATTATCCATCTATATTGTACCAAATACCTAAAAATGCATTTTGATTCTTTTGGGAAATGAGAATTATTCCCTCTTTTCTTCGATGAAAGTTTTGAGACTAGAATGAAAAAGAGTATATTCATTATGTAACTTGGCGTGCACTTTAATCACTTTTCTAATTAGATATTTAAAATATTTGCAGAAACAGAATTTGAAGCTTTCCACAAGAAGACTAAAAAGGAGTGGCCTCCATGTTTTCTAATTTGAATGAAAAATCTACCATACATTTCTCATTGTTGACTATAACTTGGCTCACCTTAGGGTGTATTGTTTTTAGCAGTTCAATTAAGAAAGTTGTTTATGGGAATGGGTCATTTCCTTTTAAAGAAGTACTGTTTTAGGTGATTTTTTTCTTCAAAAATGAGCTCCTGAGATTCCCAAGAGAAGGCAGAATGTACCTAGTGCTTAACACAGTCACTATGATCTTTTGGCATGCAGTTGATATAGCAAACCCTTATGACATATCATTAATAGCTATATTATTATGTCAATACAACATATAAATGATGTTGCTTTAAATTCAACTTCATCTAATTAGGATATAAACTCAAAAATATTGGTTAGAGGAAAATAGAACCTAACAGCCTTAAGGTTTTCATTTTCTTTTGTTTATTATTAAATCAATATTTTTTTTAGAATGACTGAAATAACAATGCAACCTTTACTAATCTTTTACTGAAAGAGCTAGTCTTAAAAATTTTATGGAGCTTTGGGATTCAATTTTAGCATTTGAAATTGTCATTTCTGTTTAGGAATGGAGCATCCCAGATTACTAGATATTAATATGGATGTTACTTAAAAAGCAAAACAAAGCAAAAAACCTTTAGGCTATGAGTGTAAAAAACAATCACATTCAACAACATGCATGATTTTCCTTAGAACTCTTCTTTAATATTGCCTTTCTGTGATATTCAAGAGAGGAATTTAAATAGAAGACAGGATTGTTATATACTCAGTGAGAAATGGTGTTCACACAGTAGCTGACTAGTTTAATGTCCTGTGTTAGACTTTTTCCAACCACTTTAAAACTTTATTACCACCACCCCTGTTAAGTCTTGGAGTTTTCGCTTTCCACAAAGCACTTGGGATCTGTGGGCTATTGCACAGGAATCATGTTAAAAAAATAATCCTTTACTCATCCAACCACACACACACACACACACACACACACACACACACACACACACACACACACCTGAAAAAATATGGTTATAAAATTGAGAGATTATCAGTGGGAAGTTTTAAAAAAATCATTGATATCTTTTGGTGTCATCTCTATTCAGTATGTGGGATGATTATACACAACAGAATTTTCTCCTTCCTTTGAATTCTGGCCTCTCAGTTCAAATGCTACTTCACATGCCAGCTTTTTCCTCATCCCCCACCAGTTATTAGTTCTCTCCCTCCCTGTCTATCTTGAAATTGCTTTGAGTTTTCATTATGTATACTTTGTATTTATATATTTGTGAACATTTTGTTTCCTTCTAGTAGAAGGCAGAAGAGTTCTAGTTTTGTCTTCATATCCCACAGTACTTTGCACATAGTAATTACTTAATAAATATTTATTGAATTGAATTTGGAACATCACCTATTTGGTTTTTGGTATCTGTAGAGACAGCAATTTTGCCCTAAACCCACCCAAAAGTGTGCCTCAGGCCTGGACCTTGAAAGAAGTTTGCTTCCCTAAGCACCATAAAAGCTGAGAAAGATAGCTCAGCCATGGCCTTGAATGTGGGAGTTGAAGAAAAGTAGAAAGAAAGCACATGATTCAGCCCTTGTGAAGCTCACAAGTTAATAGAAAGGAAATAGAGCAAACATTGATAAAATCATAGAATTTTATAATTGGAATCAAACTATACATCCCTAAAAGTTCCTTCCATTTAACTGATTGATGACATTCTTGAAAATTATACCCAGTAAGCCAGATGTGCTTGCACATGCCATAATTTCACTTACCTGGCTGGTGACTCTCTTGGCCTTAATAGTTCTGAGCTTCAATGGGCTATACCCATCAGGTGTCCACACTAAATTTGGCATATATGATGCTTAAAGAGGGTTAAATGAGCCCAAGATGGAGTTGGTGCAGGTCAAAGCTCCCACTCTAGTAAGTAGAGGGATCTACCCCCCTGAATAACCCTACGCTTCTCGCCTGGGCAATATAAGGAAACCCAGTCTTTAAAAAAAAAAATGAGGGGGCAGTTAGGTGGTGCAGTGCATACAGATCCAGCCTTGGAGTCAGAAGGGCCTGAGTTCAAATTTGACCTCAGACACTTGACACTTACTAGCTATGTGACCCTGGGCAAGTCACTTAACCCCAATTGCCTCGCCAAAAGAAAAAAAAAGGCAAAAATAAAATGAGAAAAGAACATCTAATAAATCTTATCACTTGTCACACACAGACGTGGTTTTACCCTCCTGAGTATTCTGCTAAAAATGCTATGGTTGGTCAGTCCACTATGGTTTGTCAGTGTCCTAATTAAAGGGAAGCCCTGTAGAACTTAACATAATACTACAGATATGGTCATGCTAATTCAGAAGACAGTAGGATAGTAGTAGTAGTAGTAGTAGTAGTAGTAGTAAGCTGACAATTATATAATGTTTATTATGTGCCAGGAACTATGCTAAATGCTTTACACTTATTATCTTATTTGATCCTGAGAGGTAGGTGCTTTTATCATCCCCATTTTACAGATGAGTAAACTGACTTAGTCAGGGTGACACTGCTAGTAAGTGTCTGAGGCCACATTTGACTCTGGTCTTCCTGACACCAGGCCCAGTGCTCTCTCCATTGTAGCCCCTAACTAACTTTGCATTATTGACTCACTTGTCCTGAGCTTTGTCCTTCTGTGAATGTAGCCTCAGACTGCATTAATATTTTGGCACATATACACACACATAGGTCTATATGTCTGCATATCACAATGTTAGATTATTAAACTTGCAGTCAACAAAAACGTCTAGGTCCTTTACCCTACAAACTATTAGGTCAAATCTCTTTTCTGTATTTATAAAAGTGATTTTTTTCTTAAACTAAGTGCTTTACATTGCTTCCTATTCCATATCACATTGTTGCTTCATACATGGATTGCATACTTTTAAATGTATGTGATTTAAACATTATGTAACCAGTTATATTTGGTACAGAAATAGGTAATGAGGTAGTTGCTAGTATATGTTTTGAGCAATGTTACCACAGAGAGAAAGAAGGAGGACATTTCAGATGAACCTTTATCATGAGTTCTGATTTTGTTCACAGTTCAGCGAAGACCAAAGGCACATGCTCAAGATAGTAGTAAGCAAAATTATTATTGATCTGCGTAAATGGCATTTGAATTGATGAGAAAAATTCATGGAGGATAGGTGAGGATGGATGTCATTCATATGGTGATTATGGAAAATTCTTGGTGGCTGTAATTTCTCCTTTTTCCCTTTTGGAATTACCATCTCCTTTCTCTCCATTAATTGTTAAATGCCTCCTGGTTTTCTCCAAAATGAATAGGACTTTAAAATATTATCTAACAGTTCAAACATATTGATGCTACTCAAATGTTAAATAATAATAATAATAATTCTATTTGAGAAGCATCATGTTACAGCGAATAGAGTGATGGACTTAGAGACTGAAAGTCTCTGAAAGTTATGGTTTCAAGTCTTGCCTCTGCTATTTACTAGCTTTATGACCCTGGACAAGTCTCTCAACCTCTACATGCCTTAGATAACTCTCTCCAGCTCATTTACTGGAGCATAGAGGGTTATTGTTTTTTCGGTGAGGAAATCATAGATCTGTCACATGTTTGCATGATTATATTTAAGTCCATATCTTTTAAATGCCTTTTCTTTGAAGATACTTGAAAAATCATAAACTGAAAAAGTCAATTTATTGCAAGGAGTCAGGTCAAGGAATGAGTTAAAAGCTCGCTACAGATCAGAAATTAAGGGAACAAGAAAGACTATAATTAGGTGCATGTATATTTTGTTACCCATGTCTCTTAAGTGTTTGATACAGTGAGACAAAAGTTGAGCCTTCCCTGTGTCTACTATTTTATTTCAGTATTAGTATTGCATAAAAACAAACATTCAGTAATAATCCCTTTTCTCAGAACTTTTGAAATTCTATCAATACAATAAATGTTTTACCTTTTCAAAAATTTCACTGTTCTTATTTATGCAATTTCTAGGGCTAACCTAGTCTTCTTATTGGTAAGATTTGCTTTTTAAGTACACATTGTATTCTCATTACAGAATTGAATATAGCTCTAAGTTGATTTTTCTTAGAGTCTCTTGTTGGGGTTGTGTTTTTAATATGTCCTTGAAACATTTTCTCTGCCCACCTCGTGAACACTTGCCAAGTTTGATCTCTCTACACACAATACACTTGAGAAATCTGTTGTCATCCTTCCAAACAACATGTCCTGCCCAGCAGAGCCATGCTTTAATTAGCATGATTTCAACATGGTTTTTATTTCCTATATTTAAGTACACTTATCTATTCATAAATTGCTTACCATTTGATGTGCAAGATGGACAAGAAGCAGCATAAATTACACTTATTAGGACTTGGGTTTCCCTAGCAATAGAAAAAGATCAAGATAATCAACAATGAGAATTTAGACTTTTTTTATCTTTAGACCATAATGACTCTAAATGTAATTTTTATCATTAGGTCTGATAAGCTACTGTCAAAATGAACAAGTTTTCCAGTAGGAGTTATCACTCAGCAGTTGCCTTCCACATACTCTGTACATTTATCTCTTGTTTAATCAGTTCTCAATATCACTAATGAGCATTAGCACACCAAATCCTGGGGGTCAAACTAAGTTTTATTTCTTAATACACATTTATATAATGTCATGAGAGGTATAGTAGATAGAGAGTTGAGCTCAGGATCAGGAAAGACTAGTTTGAGGTCTTGCCTCTGACACATCCTGAATGGTTTAGTAACCTTAGGCAAGTCACTCAACTTTTCTGTGCCCTAGAAAACTCTCTAACACTGGGTTGCAGAGGAGGTGCCAGGCTGCATTCATTGGTAGAGGGAATTTCCTCATCTAGGAGATCCATATAACAGTGAAATCACAGATTCAGATCCTGTCCATATCCCTATTTCTATAATCCCCCAGTATTGGGTATCAATAATCATCACTGCCAAATATGTCTGTAAATGGTGACTTTCCTCAACTGATGGCTTCAGCTGCTCACAAAACAGTCTCAAATGGTTTCCCTTATCTATCTGATTGGGACTGTTGTCAAGTACTTTTCTTTTCTTTTCATTAAAGTCTTTGTAAAGTCCAAGAATTCCATGCAGCTCTACTTTACTCTCTTAGGACATTAAAGGAAGGTTTTTCAGTAAGCTCCATGTTTAACCAATAGTACGGTTTTCTTTTGAGTTTAGACAGCAACATCATTAATCCTATCTACTGATGGGTTTTCATTGTATTTGCCTACTCAGTTAAGACTAGAGAGAAGTTCACACGCTCATCTATATTTTGTACAGATACATGGTCAGTGTCAGTGATGCTTTTTGATTGCAGTTACTTGGTACCATGGAATAAACATACTTTTCAGAAGGTTGGTGAGAAGCAGTTGAGAAACTATCTAGTTGTTTAAGAGAGATTGTCTGACTGATTGATAGTTTCTTGATCATACTAAATTTTAAATTTTAGAGATTTCACAAAATAAACAAATGTCCCCAAAGCTAAATTAATTTTTAGTAGCAGTCATTCTTTGATATCACAGCTTCACTAAGGTATTAATGTATAGACAGCCAATAAAAATTGTAGTATATTAAAACCGTCTCTGTAGACTCTAAATACCATGAACAGAGACATCTCTTTTTTGTTTAGTCAATACTGCTTTCTCATCATCAGCTAGGTGACGTAGTAGTAGGGACTGGAGGTAAGGGGACATGAGTTCAAATCCAGCCTCAGCCCCTTATTAGCTGTATAACCCTGTACTAGTTATTTAACTTCCATCTGCCTCAGTTTGCTCAGCTGTCAAATGGGGATAATAATATCACATATCTCCCAGGGTTGTTGTGAGGCTCAACTAAGATATTTTTAAAGTACTTAGCATAATGCCAACATATAGCAAGTGTTGAATAAATGACGATTAAATGCTTATTTCCATCTTTCTTGTTATTGGAATATCTGGGCTTAATAGAAATGAAGCCAAAGTTATAAAGTCATCCAAGAAAATGCAAATATTTTTAAAGGCCTACTTATACATGTACCAATCCTCTTCTTAACTTCCCTATTACTATTGAGGGCATCCTCAACTCCTCACTCTCCTTCACTCCCCATATCCAACCAGTTGTCAAGCCCTGTTGATTTTACTTTTGCAACATCTCTCATATCTTCTTTCCTCTGACATATGCCTGGACTGTTGCAATTGGAAAGGAGTAAAGTGAAAGAAGATTGGAAAGGTAGGAAGGGGTCAAGTTATGAAACGCTTTTAACACCAAATAGAGAACTTTATATTTGAACTGGGAGGTAAAAGAGAACCACTGAGTTCTTGATTTATCCTTGCCATTACCCAATGTGGGCCAATTAGATTTCATGGAAAGAAACAGTTCCTCACGCATAGTGTTATTTCTTAGTTCTGACCATCAATATGCAGATATATGCCTTTGGTCACCAGGAGGAATAGTAAGAAAATGTGTATGTATCAATATCAACCATCACAATAACTACAAAAAAGAAACCTGAATTCAAGTCCTGATAATGGTAAATCAATTGCATCTTCCTCACAGATGACCAACATCACAATGATTTCTTCAAGTTTTTTTTCAAAACCTACCTTTCCCTTCTCATTTGCTTATGTCTTAGTATTTCCTTACTAAAAAAAAACCTAAAGGGTAGCAAGGGATGTAAATTCCTTTATGATTATAGCCTTATCCATTATTAGCAATTCAAGAAAATGTCTTTTTGGGGCGGAGCCAAGATGGCGGAGTGAAAGCAGTGACTTGCTTGAGCTCTCCCCCAAACCCCTCCAAATACTCATAAAAAATGGCTCTAAACTAATTCTGAAGCAGCATAACCCACAAAAAGACAGAGTGAAACAAATTTCCAGCCCAAGACAACCTGGATGATTGATCAGAAAGGTGTATCGCGCTGGGCTGGGAGCGCAGTGCAGTGCGGCTTGGGCGCAGGCTGCATCAAACCTGGAGCAGGATTCAGAGGACTAAATCGTGGGCAGCTGAGGTTTCCAGACTCCTCAACCCACTAATGCCAAAGACAACTTAGAAGGTCAGTGGGAAAAGTCTGTTTCTGTCGTGGTCAGAGAGGAAGGTGGGGTTTCAGCTCCATTTCCCAAGAGTGTGGCACTGGGGGGGGGGGGAGCAGCTGCTTCCCAAGCTTCTGGCCCACAGACTGAGGGGGAATCCAGTGGCTGATCAGAGAGGGACTGCAGGGATCTCTTTGCCAGTGCTGAGGCAGGAATCTCTTGCTTTGCCCATGTGTGGATCTGGGTCACAGTTCTGGGCGGCAGTGCTGGGGTGAGGAGGAGCGCTGGTATGGGGGAGCTTGCAGTGGCTGTGAAGAGGAACCCCTCCTCACAGTTACAGGACAGAAAGGAATACTTGTGGTCACAGGCCAGAAAAGGAGTAAACACCTTGCCCCTTATCATACCTCCTTGGAAGAACTGAAAATTTACAGGTCCCTACAAGTATCTCTGAAAACAGCCCTGAAGCTTGGGACAGTACATTTGCCACGTTGGAAGCAGATTCTTACCTTAACAAAGAGTTTAAAACTCAAGTAATTGGCCGGGATCATGAACAAGCAGCACAAAAAGAGTCAGACTATATTATCTTACTTTGGTGGCAAAGAAGATCAAAATATACAACCAGAAGACAACAAAGTCAAAGCTACTACATCCAAAGCCTCCAAGAAAAATATGAATCAGTCCCAGGCCTTGGAAGAGCTCAAAAGGGATTTTGAGAAGCAAGTAAGGGAAGTAGAGGAAAAACTGGGAAGAGAAATGAGAGTGATGCAAGAAAATCATGAAAAACAAGTCAACAGCTTGCTAAAGGAGACCCAAAAAAATACTGAAGAAAATAACACCTTAAAAAACAGCCTAACCCAAATGGCAAAAGAGGTCCAAAAAGCCAATGAGGAGAAAAATGCCCTAAAAAGAAAAATTGGCCAAATGGAAAAGGAAGTCCAAAAGATTACTGAAGAAAATACTTCCTTAAAAATTAGAATAGAGCAATTGGAAGACAGTGACTTTATGAGAAATCAAGACACTGTAAAACAAATCCAAAAGAATGAAAAATTAGAAAACAATGTGAAATATCTCATTGGAAAAACAACTGACCTGGAAAATAGATCCAGGAGAGAGAATTTAAAAATTATTGGACTATCTGAAAGCCATGATCAAAAAAGAGCCTAGACATCATCTTTCAAGAAATTATCAAGGAAAACTGCCCTGATATATTAGAACCAGAGGGCAAAATAGAAATTGAAAGAATCCACAGATCTCCTCCTGAAAGAGATCCCCAAAGGAAAACTCCTAGGAATATTGTAGCCAAATTCCAGAGTTCCCAGGTCAAGGAGAAAATATTACAAGCTGCCAGAAGGAAACAATTCAAGTACTGTGGAAACACAATCAGGATAACACAAGATTTAGCAGCTTCTACATTAAAGGACTGCAGGGCATGGAATATAATATTCTGGAGGGCAAAGGAGATAGGATTACAACCAAGAATCACCTACCCAGCAAAACTGAGTATAATCCTTCAGGGGAAAAAATGGTCATTCAGTGAAATAGAGGACTTTCAAGCATTCTTGATGAAAAGACCAGAGCTAAACAGAAAATTTGACTTTCAAATACAGGACTCCAGTGGAACATGAAGAGGTAAACAGGAAAGAGAAATCATAAGAGACTTATTAAGATTGAACTGTTTACATTCCTGCATGGAAAGATGATATTTGTAACTCATGAGAACTTTGTCAGTATTAGGGTAGTTGAAGGAAAAAAATTGTATGTATGTATATAGATTAGATAGAGGGCACAGGGTGAGTTGAAGATTAAGGGGTCATATCTGGAGAATAAAATTAAGGGATGAGAGAGGATGATACTCGGAGAAGAAAGGGAGAGGTAGAATGGGGTAAATTATCTCACAAAAAAAAACAGAAAAGAAAAGTCTCTCACAGTGGAGGGGAAACAGGGGAAGGTGAGAGGGAATGAGGGAATCTTATTCTCATAGGATTTGGCTTAAGGAGAGAATAACATACACATTCAATTGGGTATGGAAATCTGTCTTACCCTACAGGAAAATAGGGGGAGAAGGGGACAAGAGAGCAGGGGGATGATAGAGAGGAGGGCAGATTGGGAAAGAGGGTAATCAGAAGCAAATACTTCTGAGGAGGGACAGGGTCAAAAGAAAGAATAGAATAAATGGGAGGGCAGGATAGGATTAAGGGAAATACACATGTCTACTAAGGAAGTGTTTTGCATAACTGCACATGTACAACCTATATTGAGTTGCTTGTCTTTTCAATGAGGGTGGGTGGGGAGGGAGGAAGGGAGAAAATTTGGACCTCAATGTTTTAAAAGCACATCTTTTAAAAAAAATGTTTTCACATGCTACTGAGAAATAAGAAATACAGGAAATGGGGTACAGAAGTCTATCCTGCTCTACAGGAAAATAGAAGGGGAAGGGGATAACAGAAGGGAGGGGGGAGAGATAGAAGGAGGACAGGGGAAGGGGTATTCAGAATGCATGCATCTTGGGGTGGGGGGAGGGGTGAGAAATTTGGAACTCAAGAATTTGTGGAAGTGAATATTGAAAACTAAAAATAAATAAATTTATATTAAAAAAAAAGAAAATGTCTTATTTACATTTGCCAAGAATTTAATAGTTAAATTCAAACTTATTAGTATTCCTTTTTTGTATCTGGGGCAGAACCAAGCTAATACAGACTAAAGTTCATTCACAGGGATGTTGACTTACCTAATAACTCATGCTTATTCATAAATCCTAAGAATGTTAGAGCTAGAAGGGACTTGGGAGATTATCCCACATATGCCTATAGAGGCTAGGAAACTGAAGTGATTGTTCAAGTTTAGTCATATGTTTAATTAGTTCTAGCTAAAATTGGAACCCAGATCTCCCAATTTTGAATGTGATGCTTTTTCTATTATGCTAAAAAACTAATGCATACCATTAGATAGTGATACTAAAATCAGTTCTCTGTGACAGCTCAAAGGTCTACTATCCTTGTTGCCTATGAACCCTTGATGACATCTTATTCATTCTTCATGCCTAGCTGTAATCCTAATTTTTCCATGAATTTTTCTATACCACTCTAAGCTGCTTTAGTTTTACCCAATTTAACATCCATTGCCTTGTGATATCTCTTTCATTTCCCCATTATTGAATCTTATCACCTCAAATGCTATTAAATCTGACCCATGCGTGGACCTGAATGCCTTGTACAAAATGCTTAATGAGTAGACACCTAGCCTCTCATCAGAAATCTCCAATGATGAGAACCTCCCTCTGTCCCATGATAGTCCATTGTACTTTAGTGCAGTTCTGAATGTTAGGAACCTTTTCCTTATGGAACCAAAGTCTATACTTTCTTCTCATTGCTCCTAGTTCCTTCCTGTGAGGCCAAGTAAAACAAGCATAATTCTTCTTCCATGTGATAATAATAGCAATGACACATTTCCATACCCTTTTAAGGTTTGCAAAGTGCTTTCCTTATCATAGCCCTGTGAGGTGGCCTCCATATGACAGTTTTCATTAAATAAATTCTTATCTATTAAATCCATACCCCATAACAGTATCACAGGGATACTTCCTGGTTAGGGAAACTTTGGTCATGAACAGTGCATCCTTCACTAGGACATTAGCTGGACCCTTTGTAAAAAGTATTCTGGCTTACTGTTCTTCAAAGCATGAGTCTCAAAGCACTGTGCCTAAAGCCCTATTTGGCCTCAGTGTCTGAATTCCAGAGACACTGCCCCTTCCCTCATTTAAAAAAAAACTTTCTAATTTCTTTGTAAATACTTACCTACCCAATCTAGTCTCCCATTTTGTGAAAGACAAAAAAGTCTCACTGGCTTAACTTCATTATTCCTTGAATTCATTATTTAATGGCTTCCCATACCCCAAGAAGAAAGCAACTGCTATTGAACCATTAGGTGATAAGAAGAGGAACCTAATTTACTTAGTACTTAGATGGATTTGGTGTTGTTTGGCCAGTTTGAAGTATTTATAGTCTTGTCTGAGGCAGAGGGATTTATTGTGATGAGGGCAGGGGATAGGTCTGTGATGCTAGGGACAAGGTCTGCCATATGCAGGAAGAGGTTATACACCAGAGTGAGAAAAGGTCCCATATTTAGCATAAGGAGCCTAGACTTGTTGAGGGTGGAGAAATCAGTGTCAACTAACAGCTTTGTCATTCACTTCCAGGTCCAGTTAATAGATCCAGGGCTTATTGAGAAGGGACCTGTGCATAAGGGGTGATGTTCCAGGGAAGGAAGCAGCCTCTAAGTCCTACACTGTGTACCAAGGCAGAAATAAGTTAAAAAAACAAGTTTCAGCTGCATGGCTCATACAAGAAGACCTAAATGGGTGTCTCAGTGCCAAATTCCAGTACAGTCTGAAGCCTGCAGAGGAATATTCAGGAAAGGATTCCCAGATCAAATGGAAGCCCACAGTTCTGTTACCCCAAACCAGCAGAACTTAACAGCTGACTGAGAGCAGCTGAGACCAACAGCAGTGTACTGGAACTCCACATGGGGCAAGTCCACAGACCCAAACCCAGGTCAGGAATTTGCAGAGAAATATAAAGAAGCAGAAAGCTTAGAATGCCATATTCCAGAAAGCAAAGAGTGTGGGCTTATAACCAAGAACAACTTACCCAGAAAAGCCTAGTATAATCCTACAGGGAGAACAAAAGAACCTTTAATAAAAGACTAAAACTGCTATCACCTTTGAAGTACAAACACAGGAGTTGAGAAATATAAAAAGGGCATCCTTGTTGTTGTCCCTCATACTCAAAGAGGACCAAAATGGCATCATAATGTCAGGGTCAATGTATTGTGTATCCAGCTGTGGCTAATCAGATCAGCACTCAGAAGGTTCTACTACAGATTGGGCACAAATAGTCCATGTGAACATTTGGGATATAGATGTCTCTAATTTTCTGTGTTTCTTTTGAGCTACTGCAATTTTGCTTTGCTCATAGAACATAGTTCCCTCTTTGATGCAGGCACAACATGCTGGATAGTCCTGTGCTGGTGTCTCCTATGTCTCACAATCAATACCAAAATTCTTCAGAGAGACCTTGAGAGTGTTGCTTTTTCTGACCTCTGTGTGAGGTTGCTTTGTGTGAGTTCTCTGTAAAATAGTCCTTTAGGTCAGCATATGTTTGGCATTTGAACAGTGTGGCCTGCCCATCAGAGTTGCACTCTCTGCAGTAGAGTTTGAATGCTTGGCAGTTTAGTTTGAGAAAGGATCTTCGTGTCCAGAACCTTATATTGCCATGTGATCTTCAGAATATTCCTAAGACAATTCAAATGGAAGTGGTTCAATTTTCTGGCATTGTGCTAGTAGACTGTCCAGGTTTCACAGTCATCCTACAGCAAGGTCAGGCCAGTGGCTCTGTTGTCCTTTAGTTTGGTAGGCAGCCTAATACCTCTTCTCTCACACTTTCTTTCAGAGCCTCCCAAATGCTCTGCTACCTCTGGCAGTGTGTGCATCAAAAGGAGTTGTGCTTTCACAGGAGTGAACAATGACGAGACTAAATATGGATAACTGTTTATATTCTAATATAGGGAAATGATACATGAGACCCTCCATACCCTGCCGCCAACAGGGATCATAGAGAGAGTCTAATTAGCCTGCAAGTGGTTCTTGATGATCTCAAATGAAGAATGAAAAAGGAAGGGCAAGGGGAATACCCTAAAGAGTGAAAGGGAGGAGGTTAGAGAATAGTATCTTATGTAATAGGGGTGCACAAATCAAAGTTTAAACAAGGAGGAAGGAGTTGGGGGAGCAAGTGATATTTAAACTTACTCTCATCTTAAGTTGTCAAAGGAGGGAAGAATACATATATACACAGTTGGATCCAGAAATAAATATCACTCAACAAGGAAACAGGAAGGAAATGGGGAAAGGGAGAGGGGGGAATAAGAGAGAGGTTAGAATAAGGGAGGAATTAGTTCTAAGCACAACAAACTAAGGATGTGTAAAAATATTTATAGCTCTTTCTGAAGTGTCAAAGAGTTGGAATATCTGAGGGGGAACCAACCAATTAGGTAATAGCTGAAGAAATTATGATACATAAATGTAATGTAATTCTATTGTGTTATAAGAAATGATGATGTGAATGTTCTCAGAGAAATCTGTGATGATGAAATGATGAAAAGTGAAGTGAGAAGAATTGGGGGATAATTGATATGATAATACCAATACTGTAATGATATAAACTTTGAAAGCCTTAAAAACTTTGATCATTGTTATGAAGAATCACAATTCTGGAGGATTCATGATGAAACACGATACCTATCTCCTGATAGAAAAGTTAAGGACTCAGAGTACAGAATGAGATTTTCTTTTAAGCTGCCAATGTAGAAATCCTTGCTTGACTGTACATATTTGTAACAGTAGTTTTGTTTTTTCTTTCTTTCTCAATTGGGGGTGCAGGGTAAAATGGAGAAAAAGCAGATTTTCTCTGATTAAAAAAAATTTAATTTAAAAAAAAAAGCAAGAAAAATTGTTCTGGCCCTGCAAAGTTGATAAACAGTCAACAGTTACAAGCCATATGCCATGTTAGTGATTCTGATGTCCTTGTTGTCTCCTGTTGTCAAACTATGACATAATTGCCAGGAACTACTTAGAGCCAGAAACTCGTTATGACATATTTGCAAAACATTGACTAGGACTCTGTGTGGATGCTGCAGCACATTGGGCCTAAATTTTACAGTAAATTCTCCTTATTTTCCCAACAAGCCAGGAATTAATTCAGAAGAAATGTTAATTGATGGCAAAATTCTTACATGTTACATGATTTTAATGAAACAAAATAAAAAATACTGCATGTGGTCATCACAGGACCATGCTCATGCTGTCCAATATTTCATAATTGCAGATGGCTTCTCTCTTAGGGACTCAAATACAGTTACATTTCTCCACAATCTGATGATTTTTACACTGGAGGATTGCAACAATACCAAAGAAATCCTCTAATGTTTTCAAGGCAATATTTTGCTCTTTTAAAAGAATTAATGCTAAAGAGAGCTGCAAAACTTCTAAGCAAAATGTCCGTTACCTGACTGCATATGTACTGCTCTAAAGCAAACGAAGCAGCCGTAGTCAAAGGCCAAGCCCAAACTTCTGCCTTTTTTTTTTGTTGTTGTTGATCACTGAACCAGAAATATCCACCATGCCCTTGGGGAGAGCAAGAACTGCTTTTCCAACAGTGGTCAAACTTGTCAGTGCTTGGAGCCACACATGACCTCACATGCCACACAAGCCTCACATGGACAAAAGATAGTATTTAAGGAAAGGGGAGAACACTTAAATAAAATACAAAGGTATAACACAGTACCTGTCATAATGTATCCTTGTCTCTGGCCCAGAACTGATGTGGCAGCAGAGACCTGGAATCATGCAGCATCTTGGGACTGAGGTGACAGAGTCGTGGTAAAGAAACAGAAATGATGAATAGTCAGTTTAAACTCATCTCTGAAATACTCTTGAAATATCAAAAAAGGTTTCTAACTTCATATTGCTGAAGATATTAGTATTATGTATTCATATACATAGTAATGAGGGTTCTGCTTAGGAAAACTTTGATCAGTGAAGTCAGTCATTCAGTCAACAAGCAATTATCAAATGTATGTTCTATACCAAGTACTGCACTTAAGTACTAGGAATACAAAGAAGGACAAAAATAGACACATCCCTTCAAAGAGAAAAGTAAAAAATTAATGTATTTATTCCTTTACTTTTTTCTCTAAAACCCTATTCTGAGGCCCGTTCTGATGAGAATGACTTTGGGTTCTCCAAGGCCATTCCAGCAGAGCTAAAGCTAAGGTAGGCCCTACCAAGCTGGAAAAGTTTTAGTTATGGACCTGACCACAGACTTTGTCATCTTTTAGAGCCAGTATGATAGTACAGTGGATAGAGTACTATGTCTAGATTCAAGAAGACCTGAGTTCAAATCCAACCTCAGACACTTACCAGTTGTGTGAACAAGTCACTTAACCACCATCTGCCTCTGTTTCCTCAACTGTGAAATGAAGATAAAAATAGCACCTCTCTCCCAAAGTTGTTATGAGGATCAGATGAGACAGTATTTGTAAAATACTTAACGACAGGGCCTGGCACATAGTAGACATTTAACAAATGCTTATTTCAGTATGGGCAAAGAGGAAATAAATGCATCTTCTAGCCTGGCTAAGTTTGTAAACGCCATAACCAGATGCGTGATGGTGTTTAGCCACCAACTGATTAATTTTTATGGCCACAACAATTCATGAAACATCCTGTGCTGTACAAAGGCATAGAAAGTTTGCAGGCAGCATAGGTAGAGAGCGTGCCCTCATTAACGAAATCATAGATCCTTGAATTCTATCCTGAACCTAAAAGGATCAAGGGACTTAGAAAAAAGAGAACAAGAAAAAGAGTTGTTGTGTCCTCTAGGTGGTTCAGGAGTATCAAATAGCAGTGGAGTGGCCCAGATGACAACAAAAAAAAAGGTAAAATCTCATTACAAAAATTGCTATTGCAAAAAGAGTTAGATATTTATAGAGTTTAAATTGTTCCAAGTGCCAGTCCATGGCCAACTTATATTAAGAGCTATTGGCTGAACAGAATTTCAGTGCAACAACAAAATTTGGATGACCTCCTAGAATTTATTTTAATGGGAAGTGTACCATATGGGAATTTGAGCCACCACGTGAATGAGAAGATAAAGGGAAAATGCAAAATGGAATGAAGTACAATTAAAACCAGGAATGGTTAGAGCAAGTTTCCCAGATTTTTGTTCAGGATGTATGAAAACGATTGAGTCATGAATAGTGTCAAAAGCTACATTGAGTTAAAGCAGGATAAGGGAAGAAAAGAATCCAAGTGGTGATAATTAACCATATGGAGGACAGTCTGAGAACAGCAAAAGCCAGAATAAAAGTAGTCATGAAAGTTATCTCAAAATTAGCAAGCTTGAGGCTCTGCTTTTGCCGTTTTGTCTTTGAACACAGTGGTGTACTCTCCCCTGCCCCCTCTTTCTTTCTACGTCTCCTTTCCTTTCTTTCACCCATGTGCCTTTGAAGTTGAAAAACAAGAGACATGAATATCAGGAGTAATAATGCTTCTCTGTGCTTGCTGTTCTCTTGACCTTCTCCGAAAGCCATGTTTCCAGATATGGCTTTAATGGCTGTTTTCTACCAAGGCATCATGTTTTGCTTAATATAATGGAGTAAGAATAGATTTGTTGCATTTTTTCAGGAAATCCATCAGTTCATTGAATTTCTTTATAGCAAGACTGATATGTTTAGTATTCCTGTCTCATTCATCCCTTAGTATCCATGGCTTATACCTTCTTTCCAGACATGTTTACTTTTTGGTTATTGGTACTTCTTGGTAAATACTTCTTTTATTGGGATTCATCCTTTGAATTCTATAGTGATAGTTCAGTAAGTATATACCAATCAATCAACAAACATTTATTAATTACCTACTGTGTGCTAAGGCCCTGGAGTAGAAGCTGCAGTATTCAATGTGATACCTTCTTGTGATATGTTGTATGCATCATAATTTGGATCCTTGCCTAAGACTTTTTTGAAAGTACTTTTTAAATTGATAGCATTTGTCTTCATATTGCCAAAATTCTTCCGAATATTCCTCCCTTTGCCCAAGTCCAAAGTTATTTCATATAACAAATAATATTTTTAGAAGAGAAAAATTGGCAAAACCAAACATATACCTAAAAAAAAATCTAAAAATATTTGCAATTTTCCATACCTGGGTATCTCTCTCCTCTTCAGAGGAGCAGAGGGGGGATATCTTCTCATTTCCCTTCTTTGGGGACATGTTCATTCTTTGTAATTTTGCAACATTCACTTTTGATTTTGTGGAAGTGGTTCTTTCCATTTAGATGCCTAAAGACTTTTTATGTATTCTTTACAATTCCAAGTTTTGGTATTTATTTACAAACTGACAAGGCTTTTGATGTTCACTTCCCTCATTTCACTTCCTAATTTTATAATTGTTTTTAACCTGAAAAATTGCTCTTTGATATATTTCATTGCTAGAATGAAGTCTTGCATCTACTTTGTTGGAACTTGTAGGAAAGCTGTAACTAAATTGGTAAAGAGATACCTAGACTGAAAGGGACTTTTAGAAATAATGGTGTTCAATGATCTTATTTCACAGGTATGGAAAATGAGGCCTGGTAACATGGTAGTGTTAAAACCATAACTAAAATCCACATTTTCTTATTCCTATATTTGTGTGCTTTCTGCTTTTTCCCCCTAGATGTTTATTGACCTGAATACTACCCACATGCTTTACTAATCCTGTTTTTATTCTTTAAAACAGCCTAAAAACCTTTGTAGCTTTTCAGCTGTCATATATTGCTAAGGAATCAATGATAAAACGGTCTCAAGAGGATCAAATTCAGATTGTGACATATACAAACTGTGTGACCCTAGGCAAGTCACTTAGTATCTCAGCGCTCTAAGCAGTTATCTAACATTTAATTTTCTAAGCAATTATCTAACATTTAATTTTCAGAGAAGATGCTGACCTGCTTGTTAGAGAAAGTTCCTCACCCGCAACCCCCTACACCAATGAAATCACAAATCCAGTTTCTCTCTATCTCTAACGTTTTGGTCATCTATTAGTTCACATGTAGTGCACGCTGTATAGCTGGAAATGACCTTAGAAATTCCATCATTTTACAATCTAAGGTCCAAAGATATTAAGTGATTTGTTAGAGGTCACAGAGGCAGTAAGTCAGCTTTGTTTGATTATGTGGTGCCCAACACACAGTATAATATTGATAATGTATTCAATGAACACATTTTTAAGGGGATAGTTAAAAAAATGACAAGTGTTATTTTTGTAGTGATGTCTTATGGATATGATATAATTTTTAATGCAGAAATAATGGTATGACTGTAATTATAATTCAATTCCAGAGCCATAATAATCCTGAAAATAGTATTTGAAGATTGTATACCTTAGAGCTATTTTTGAGTCAAATATTCTTACCAAACATTTTGATTACCTTTTGTGTACTTTGGTAAGTAAATCATTTTAGTAATAGAGATAGCTCTTCTGTTTAATTTAGATTGTATATTGTCTCCCTGTGGAAGCTTTCTAAATCTACTCATTTAGTTTTCTTCAGAATGAATGACGCATTGATCTCACTCTCGTGCCAAATTGCCAGAATCTGCTAATATGACTTACCTCCTTTTTAAAGTGAAACCACATAATTCACTGTCTTATCTTCCCTCTGCCCACTTGAGAAGAGAACGTGACAAGAGATGCTTATGTGGTTCTGGTGCTAATTGGGTAAATGAGCAAAGTTCTCAACACCATGAGCCAGAAGGCCTTGCTCACTGTGTTTCTCTTTGAGATCAGCTTGGTGTTTCTCATCAGGCGAAGTGTTCATTTCACACTTCCTATACTTGCCAACAGTGGGGCAACAGAGAAATATGATTCTAGGACTCTACAACTATTTGATTATTATTGTTCTTATGTAATAATAATTATAATGGCATGTATCAATCTTACATTAGTGTCCATGAAAGCATTTTCTAAATTATAACCTCCTATACAAATGAGTTGTGAAAATGCCATGAATAGGATGACTTGTGTTTTGCTCCTCTTCCTTCAATGCAAACAAGCTAAAATTTGTTCCATTCATTCCTATTGCTACTCTTCAAAATAATGCCATGCAATTCATTAATCAAATTTAGTAGAAAGCATCAATTTCAATGTCTTTGCTCTTAAGAAACCTTGATACCCATGTGAATCTTAATAACAAAAGTTAGAGTAAATGAAAACAGGTGTGATCTTCAGAATAATGGTATTGTCATAGGTTACATTTGTTATTCATTTAGGGACGATTCTAATGACATCTCACAATTTTTTTCAAATAGTAAAATACCCCAGGCCTGATTATGTTAATGCCATTAAATATGAAACTGTCTTACTCTGAGGTGTTAGAATTTTCTTAAAATATTCAAGTCTTTCAGTAACAACTATTATATTTTAAGTAGTGAAAATTGTGCCTTCAATAATATAGGCTGCTTTTATTTAAAAAAATTTTTTTTAAATGTACTAGATGGAAATTAAGCAAACACGTTTAAGAATGTTTGTAATTCTTGTGCAATGAAAAGGTGGACTACCAATATTATCACTTCAAGTAGAGAGTAAATTACCATAGGTTGAGTAGCTCAGAAGTCATGTAATGATGTGACCATAGGATGCTAATATTTAGAACTAATTGAATACTTACATTAAAGTTTGACATTTTCAGGTTATTTTTCTTCCTTCTCCTCCCTTTTTACTTCCAGTTTCACGCTCTCATTCTCTTGCTCTTTTTAAGAAGGAAAACATTTTGGTTACGAAAATATTAGTGCAACTTTAGGTGAAATAGATTTATTGATTTTTATGCACCGTCTGTAGAATTGCCAACATATTCTGGGTTTGTGCCATTAATGCACATTTAGGTTTGCAGGATTTTGTCTTAATATGATCAGTCTTTATTTATGTAAAGCATAATTCTGACTCCATTTGAGCAATGTGCATTTAGCATAAGCAGAGTTCTGGGCTGGTGTTATTAAAATGCATGCAACAGCCATCCTGCTCTGGGCTTCTGCTGAAATACGCTTTTAATCGAAGTAGAATTATGGCTATATATTATCCATGTGAATCCAGTTAGACCACAGGGTTGGCTGGCACTGTAGCACTCTGGGAACTGGTTAGTAATCCATATGTTGTATTTGGGTATTTAAATACTCTCTAATGTATCTGTTTGAGGTGCTAGATGAAGTATTAGACAAGTGTATACTGTCTTCTCCTGGAAAATATACATCATGCCTAAGATGCTTTGAAAAAGTGCTGTCAAGTATATTTGTAGTTGCCAGTGAGAAAAGATTCAAGCCCAGAATAGTCATTCAGTAGAAGTTTCACTTCAGACCTTTTGGTAAACAAAAGGGCAGACATAAAGAAAGCATCTTTTGATGAATTTTTTTTTGTTTGCTTATACAATTTTATTAAATTACAACTCACGTTCTCTACAGTGGATCTGGAGGGAAGAAAATAACTTGTAGAAAACACAGGTGCTTTAATGCAGATTAAATTTCAGAGGTAGGAATAGGAGCCTAAAATGATCAGCATCAGTGAATATACCATAACGAAACTTTGTTTTTCTCATTTCAACTTGCAAAATGAGGTCTTTGGGATGTAATAATATGAGAGTGTATGGTATCTATTTTCATAAATAAAGTTCAGATCAGCAATAGCGCCTGATATTAATGCATTTTGAAACCTTTGTTGATAAGCCATTCTATTCTATATTGTGTGTTTTAGTCTTCAGTATCCACAAAGACACAGATGGAGTAAGGCTTTGCTGTTATAAAGGGCTTCCTCTCATGCCTAACTTATGACCTTTCTGTTTTTATTTATGCTTTTTAATTAACAGTTACATTTTAAATATCCTACATAAATTTATGGTCTGATTGTGGCCATTTTACTTCATGCCATCAAATATTGTTTTTAGTAGGAGTCATATTTTCCCACTTTTTTCATTTCATAATGGCCTACCCCATTTACCAGGTATTTACTTACATTTTGGCAACTTAACATCACACACTGTAATATTTGAGTATTTTTACCATGAAAAATGAAGGCAATCAGAGAAACAAAATACTCAATTACCTATATCATATGAAGTCCTATTTGCCCAAAAAGATAAAATTTGTTTTAAGTAATATCTTTTTATAATTTAATTATTTCCATAATTGACATTTTTATATATTAAACTACATTCCTTTGGTGTAGATAATAAGCATCTCTTTATAAAGGTCCAGCCCTAGCAGGTTGATCATGCACTTGTTACCTGTAATTCACTACAGCAGCACCCTGTTTACAAAGTCCAGACTTCCTGTGCTGTCAGTTAGGGCAATCAGCACAAAGACCAAGAGCTTTTGGAACTAAATAAACAATGAGAAAAACATTCAAGGCTGCCAGTAACCCTTCACAGGTAATTTAACAGCCTCTGACTACAAGGCATCAATTGTTGTAGATGTCTGCCGACTATGAAATCTGACATTCTGTCTTGCCATGTTCTGCCAATAGCTCTGTGCGTAATCTCTTGCTGAGGTTCACTGGAGCTCCTTCAGCACATTGTGCTTTCATATTGAGCGTAAGTGGTTTCATTATGACAGACATCCACACCTGCATTCTGTCATATGTGTGTCATACAAGTTTGAGATATGGAGCATCTGATTATTTAAAATGGGAAGATTAACTAAATTGGGATTTTTTTTCCCCTTGACCTATGAAGAAAACAACTCTACTGCCAAGTTCAAACCTTTAGAACTCTTCCTGAAAGACTTAAATCCTAACACTCAGGCTACTGTATCAGCAAGGATGGACAGACAGAAAACATCCATCTCTTATCATGCATTTTATATTCTGAAACAATTGGCACTTTTGTTTAAAGCTTTTTGTTTATGTATTTTTAATTTAACTTGTTTGCCTTCTGATACATTTGATGACTTTGCTGATGGCCTGGATAATGATTGCAGTAGCTGTTTATATGACTGTTTATATGTATCAAAGCCAACAGAAAACATCTGTGAGTTAAAGTGAAGCGACATGGATCCATCTGGATTTGTGTCAGAGATGTTCCCTTTTTCCCTATTTTAGTAATCAAATAGGGTAGTGTATAAAAAGGTATGATGCTTCCACAAATCCCAAAATGCCGCTCCAGGTCTAATATTGCAAGTGCCACACTTTCACACCTACAGTTATCAAATGCTTATGGCATCACTGTGTTCCATGCTCATGAGGATATTATCTTGCATCAAGGTTACATTTACATTGTTTTTACTTCCATGACTCTTTTCTTGTGCATAGAAATAACTGTGTGAGTAGCCAGTTTTACTATGGAACTTTAAAATGTTTTATAAAGAAGGAAATGTTCATTTTTGAAATACCTCTCTTTAGAATATGACTATTTTGTAAATAAGTAATATGGGAAAATAATAAAGTAATACTTCATATTTTATGCTCTTTTGAAAGCAGTTTTACATTATTTCTCTTAATCTTCACAATCACTGTATGAGCTAGTCAGGGTAGGTAGCCCCACATAACAGAGGTGGGAACTACAAGCCACAGACTTTTTATTTGCCCAAGTCCATACCTAATTATTATTGAGTTGAGACTAGTGAGTTGGTTTTTTTTTAAATTTCTATTCTTTCCTCTCTTCTACTGGAGTATAATTAGACAAGCATATTTGTTGGGTTTTTTGTTGTTCAGTTGTTTCAGTTTTGTCCGACACTTCTTGACCCCATTTGGAATTTTTTTGTCAGATGCTGGAGTGGTTTGCCATTTCCTTCTCCAGCTCATTTTACAGATGAAGAAACTGAGGCAAACAGTTAAGTGACTTGCCCAAGAGTCAAATAGCTAATACGTGTCTAGGGCCAGATATGAACTCAAGAAGATGAGTTTTCCTGATATCAGGCCCCACACCTACCTGCCCCATGTGTTTCTAGTTTAATTCATCTATTTCACCACCAAAACATTGTTTCTGCATGACCTGACCCTTTCCACCTTTCCCAGTCTTCTTACACTATACTTCCCTTTCCACAATCTATACTCCATATACACTGGCCTACATGTTGTCCTTGCCCATGATCCTTCATTTCTCACACTGTTACCTTTGCACTGGTTATCTCCCATGCCTTAAATGATCTTCATCTCCATATCTCTTAGTTTCGCTGAGTCCCTTCAAATAGTCAGCTCACAGCTCTTCTTTTGCAGGAGGCCTTTGTTTGCCTCCTTGACCTCAGCTGCCAGTGCCTTTCCCTCTGAGTTCACCTTCCATTTATTTGATATATGTCTTCTATGTAGCTAGGTACATCTACAGGTGTTCTCCTCTATTGGAATGTGAGCTTCTTGTGAGTAAAGACTACTTCTTCTTTTCTTTGTTATCTCCAGTATTTAGCTCAGGATCTGTCATATAGTAAACACACAGTGAGAAATGCTTTCCACTCATTGTAATCCTTAATTTCTCCCCTTTTCTTTGCATATAATTTGTCTTACTAAATATAAACCTGAAATCTTGCATGCATGTAACTCTTTGCTAGGGTCTATCCCTTGCAGTAATTTGATTGGAATTGCACTTTAGTGTATTTTAGTGAAGTGACATGGACCCGTCTGGATTTGTGTCAGAAATGTTCCCTTCCTACCTACTTAGCAGTCAAATGATAGGGCAGTGTGTAAAAAGTTGTGATGCTTCCACAAATCCCAAAATGCATCTCTAAGTCTAACATTCTAACACTATTAGCAAATCTTTGCCTAGTACCTTTTATTTATGTGACACTGTGCTAGGCCCTGATGACAGAAAACTTAAGACATGGTTTCTGTCCCAGGGAATTCAAGATCTAGTTAAACAGGACATATAAATTAATAGATAATGATCTAAACTTCCATACATTAAGTAACGGACTGAGTGTTATAAATGATAAGTGCTACAAGAGTTTAAATAAGGAAGTACAAGGTAAGACTTGCACACAAGTCTCAAAATATGGAAAGAAATTAAACAACAGAGAAAAAAGAGGGAGAACCTTATGAATCTTTGTCATAGTTGTCTATCATGGGAGCTGATCACAAAATATTGAGAATGACAGAGGACATGGTATCTCACTTCTAGCAAATATGCAAGACAAGAAAGATTTTGCAGTGATGTGCACGGGGTGCATGATGTTTGTCTTTGCTGTGGCCAAGTAACCATTATCCATAATCACACTGCTGTCTGGTCTTCCTCCCAGAAGTTCCAAGCTAAAGGAATAACTTCTTATTACAAAATCCTGGGCAAGAAACTGAAAACCTTAAGGACACAGCTGGTCCTTTCATCATTGCTGCCAATTGATTCAGGGACTTCAGAAGAGACAGGCAGATTTGGGACATGAACAGTTGGTAAAGAAGACTGTATCTGAAAATGGTATTTAGATTTCTGAATCATGGTATAAAACATAGCAATGTTGGGCTTTTGGCCACGGATAGAGCACACCTCACAAAGGCTAGTAAAATATTATTTTCCTGGAATCTTAAAAGTCTCATCAGAAGGAACTTAAATCAAAAGGGCAGAGGACAGCTACAGCAAAAGCACACTAGCATTCAAGAGAAACCTAGTTAATTGATAAGAAATGAAATCTCAAAAAAGTAACTAGCAATAAAATCCATGGTCTTAGAAGTTTATGCACAAATACACAAAGTGTAGACTACACAGTCTAAGACAGAGAGTCACATTTGATATTGATCCTAGTTGGACGAATCCATATTCCATTACTGGAATAAGC